CATACTCGTGAGCACATTACTTCCATTACAATTCAACGCTAAAAACATAGCTATTTGGATTAAATTGATAGCAAGGTTCATATAGACCAAAAAATTCTATGCTATCCTTATATTGCATTGGGATTTCCTTCTTTGAAAAGAATTTTATCTCTATGTAACCTTTCCGATGGCAAGTACAGGAAAAAGCCATTTCATTCAAGCATATAAATAACGTCTTCTTAATTCACATATTCCCTTATTAGAAACAACAATAATAATAATTGTGATAAAGAGTTTGCGTCCATTCAGCGTGGTAATTTAACTTCCATCATCAAAATTACGGTATTGAATCACATTGGTGGGAATTATAAAAATTTGCGAAGAAAATTTTAGAATTTTCTAGTAAACATCCCATAAAACTATGGCAACGTTAGTCCGCGTTGGTAGGTTGAAAATTTAAAAAGACCCTAATGTTATCATTAGAGTAAGACAAATGACTATACTACGACAAGATATAGATGAATTTGATATTAATTTTAGAACTTTTAGACAAAAATTGTTAATTGCGAAGAAACTAGAAGCTCACTCTAGTCCAGCTTCATGGTAAAGAAAACCACTGTTTGAATTATAAAAAGGGAAAAGCTGAATGTTGTAGTCAATTATAAACAGGCTAATATGAAAAATTTTAGAATTGATGGATATTTTGTTCCAAGAAAAGATGTGTTTGATTAATTAAACCAAATTGATCAAAATCTTAGCAAATTCGAATGTAAGCAGTAGATTTTGGCAAATTCAATTGACTGAAGAATTGAAAAATATTAACAGCTTTCCAATACACCAGGGGACATTACCATTCTAAGAATATTAGCGGCTTTTGTTTAAAATATAGCACCCACTACTATGGAAAATGGTATAGAACGAAACTCTTACGACTGTATTTTCTGTCTGCAACAATGTAACCTTTGCGACGGTTAAATCTTGTCACTAATAGTCACTTTTTGCTAACGACATATCCGTCTCGAAAAGAGAGAAGGATATGTTGGATGGTTTTTGCCGGAATGCAAACCATAACACCGTCGTAAAAGAAGACTTTTTTTTGAGGACGGCTTTCTTATCCCATCGCAAAAAGATTTCTTTTGCCATGGCCTTTGTTGTCGTTGTAATGGACCCAAAAAAAAAAACGCTCTTATCTCTCTCTACTCACGCTCTGTTGTTTCTTGTGTCACAGCCTCCTTCTCCTTCGCCCCCTTCTCTCTTCTCCTCCTCTCATCCACTGCCGTTGGTACATGCAGCACCATGGACGACCACCGCCATTGATATCACCATTGCAAACTAGCAACCATTCTCTGAAAATCGAGGAGAGCCAATAGAAGGAGTTTGACATTGAGATCGCTGGCCAAAGTTTAGAGGCTAAGAATCGACAGAGGCGGCAATTGAGATGCGTAGTAGCGGCGGGGCGGAATGTAGTAGGGGAATCAAAAGCCCTAATTTCATTTCTCTTTTCTCTCTCTCTCTCTTCTCTTCATATATATATATATATATATATATATATGTATATATACTAGCAGTTTCAGATCTCTCTCTTTCTTCAAATCAATTTACAGAACATGATGATTTGCTTGTTTTGCTTTGATTGCTTTCTCAGAACTCAAAAACAAAAACAGAACTCCATTCGATTCATTCTGAAATTCTCAATTTTCTTCGAAATGGGTTGTGGGATTCCTCCTCAATTGGCTCTGCAGGTAATTTACTCCTTCTCTTCTAATCTTCCATATTTTTTGTCATTCTTCAGATTGCCTCTCTCTTTTTTTCTTGGAAATGTTGTTCATGGTTTATTAGGTTAAACCTGGTCTCACGAGGTTTCTTACATGGCCCTTTAGAATTACACTACAATAATTCGTAACAAACACTACAAAAATCATAACTTCACCTCAAAAAATTCTCAACTTTCTTATGATAAGTGGACTGTGCATGGTAGTAATTTCCTTAAGAAAATTGAACAAAACAGTTACCAAGAAAAAAAAAAAAAAAACTCTATGCAAGAAATACAATTTGTAAATAAAACTATTATTGCAGTATTTTTCTAATACGAATTATGTGTTTGGTTTGAAATGACAGGATTACAAAAGATTGTCATTATGCATGAAACTGAAAGTGAGAGAATTCAAGTTCAAAGTATTATTGATTTCCTTTTTTTTTTTTTTTTTTTAACTCTTTGCTCCATAACCTTTGAAATTGAGATCACTCTGAAATTAAGATTCTATATTCTACTCCACAACATCAGCCCCCAAGCAACAGTGTGGCATTGCAAATATGAGATGGGCTTGTTACTACAAAACAGAGCACCCACGTGCTAATTGTCGGGGGGAAAAAAATCCTAATTTGTCTGCTTTGGTTAGTGTTTTAAATTGAATAGCTATACCATGTTGTTGGATAATCTTTGAGAAGCAAATTTAATTAAATCAGTTCCACAAATACAAAGAATAAATTAGAGTAGCAAAATTCTTTTTGGAAGATTTACGATCAATTTGGTTCACTGTAAGGGGATCAATTTGGTTCACTGTAATTGGTTCTCTATTTTGGTGTAATGAGAAGAAATGTGGTATGGAAATACTATGATTGGTTAGTTCTGTTACACTTTCTTTTATGAATTTCTTATTGCCTCCAATCTTAACTAAATTAACCAAATGTATTCACTCTCTGCTTAATATGCAAGAAAAGCTTTGGCAGACTCGTGAATTATATGCCTCATTTAATGCAATGTTGGTGATAAAAGACTTGATGCTAAAGAAGACTTCTTTGTTAAACTCTATAAACCCACCAATTTGTACTCTATCTTCCTCCATATTTCTAGTTTTGCTAGTTACAATTCTTATATTCTATCCTAGTCCTACTTAAATCTAAACTTTTAGATTCTGAAATACCTTTCCACAATTTAGCTTGAAGTTTTCTCATTCTCTTGTTTCGTTAACTAAATTTGTATCGTCTGCAAATTTTATACACTGGAGATATCCTCTTTGAATGCTCTTTTTAAGTTCATCCATTACTATGTATGTAAGCATGTTGGAAATACTATATTTGTGATATGATATCTATTAAACTATATGACACAAAATGAGGTTTCTTTCAAAATGTTTAATAAGTCTACATTTTGTATGTGTATAGGACATTTTTAAAGAGGTCATTGTCAAATGGCAACATTCTTTGTGAAAGCAATTCACCCATTGAAGCCACTGATGTTTGACAAAATGAATATCACAATCAACCTTTGCTTGATAAGACGCAAGGTCTTTCAGAGCCAACTCCAGAAATCTTTACTTGTGAAAGTGAATTATCTTATTCAAGGTGAGCTTACATCACTTTGTTAAATCTAGTACCTGAAGGAGCTCCTTTATCATTTAACTTTGTTCTCTACAAGTGTAATTGGGCTTTCCCATTATTTGATTTACGGAAGCTAATATAATGACCAAAATTGACCATCTAATTTACATAATTCTTTGAAGAATAAAGTAGAAAGGCTCTGATAAAAATATAATGTTCCAAAATCGTCAATTTGTCAAAAAACCAATTTGGACTAGCCAATTGGATTGGATTGGCTCAGATGTGGAGCTCTTATAGACCAAATGCCCAGGTGACCATAAAGTTGATGAAATTCAAAAAGTGTAGCTGCACTAAAGCTTTAACTTTCTGGATTCATCATGAGTGGACAAATAATCTACCCAGATGATATGAATGGTGAATTTGAAACTATTAAAGTATCATCTTATAGCGATCCCGGGTTTACCCTTGTTGTACAGTGATCCGGACATGTGTCCGTAGATGTTGGTAGTTGTTTATTATCTTGTTTGCATCCATAAACATTTGAAGCTTGAATATTGTATTGAATAAATCTTATATTTAAAACGTCTCTCTAGTATTGTTTTGCATGCATAGCTTGACTCTTCTTGGAAGTTAAAGTCACTGTTTGTGTGTCAATTAGTGTTGAACATGTGGTGTGGTATGCGATATGATGGCCAATTATATCTCACATTGTACACTTATATAATTTAATAATTGCAACATTCCTCTAATTAATTGGCTGTCTTATGTAGGTATACCCCCTCCATGTCTAGTAGACAGCTTTTTCCAGATATGCAGCAGAACCAATATCTGGAAAATGATCGTGTTTGTTTGGATGGACATCGAGTTTCATTCCACTGCTCAAATTTTTGGGACGTGGATTGGCTTTCTTCATTAGGAAATTCATGTGAAGAAGAAACTTATGAAAGGTGATTTTTGAGATTCTGTTAAAGTAATGATTCCTGAAATGTTGTTCTGAAATAAGCTTAAAGTTCAATATTTTAATTGCTGTCATCATCAGCACCACTTCATTTATTTAGTGTCTGTCACTGCCAAGGGCCACCTCTTTTTTTTCCTCTACTCTCATCGCCATCATCACCACACATATACCCTTTGTCAGCCATCAACAACTTTGTGTACAAACATTCTTTGACCCTTCATCTTTAATAAGAGAAAAATACTACTTTCACATAGTAATTTACTGTAACAACAGGAACCAAAACAAAACAAACGAAACCAAACCAAACTAAGCCTTGTGTCCCAATCAAGTTGGGTTGCTACATGAATCATTTTTGTCATGCTACTCTGTCAAGGGTTATAGACTCAGTTAAATTAAATAAATTCATGTCCTTTCGTTGACATCTTCATTTGTTCATAGAAGTTGTCATCAAATATGTGTGTATATTGATCCAGATGCACAAATATGACCACCATCATTCATATCTGTAGATATTATACTTCCCTTGTCATGTTCTTAAATTCATACAAATCCACACGACCTTCCTTGCAATGTTCTGTGGTTTGAACCCTGGATTTAATGGCTGCAGATCTATGCTCATAAGCTCTCCTATTACCGGTACGTCATCAGGTAACGTTGTTACTGGACTTAAAATGGAGTCAGGTGCTTCTGCTAGTACATCTGGGTTCAGCATGAAGGTCAGTAATATATTGAATCTTTCTGGTGGCACTGTCATGACATGGTATACTTGTCAATCAGAAAATATGCCATGCATACATATTTGACAACTATGGTTCACAGGTATAGGCAAAGTAGAATAGAATAGCATTAACTTGCCCTATTCTTTTTTCCTCGTGTTTGTGCTTGTGAATCTTAGATTTGGATCTTGTCAGTTACATCTATTTACTTTTATTGCCATATCTTACTTCCTTGTCTTGCTTTCTTTGTTGACTAACTGACATTAGATGCATTGTTCCTTTTGGATTTAAATTTTCTTGTTTTATATTTGTTTTTGGTCAGCATTTTCATGGCGTTGATACACTTTGCACGTTATGATGATCCCATTTCTAATGTATTTTTAATTATTTTTTTTAGTCAACCAAACATGGGAATTGACATTTTGATGGAATGACTTTTTATTGCACTTCATTCCAGTGATCAGTGTACCAAACACTACCTCAATTCTTCAACATTTCCATGTGAAAATCTAAAGTAATTGAGTGCATCTTCAATAATCTTCAACCAAATTTTGGGGAACTGTGTGATCTTATCATAATTAGGGTCGCCATTTGGGTGAAGTCTCAGTTAAAAGGATATTTTTATTCAGCTAATGAGATGGTGCATAATTTGCAATAGGTGAGGAGGAGCATTGGATCTTCAATCAGGTTGTAGAGGTTTTCTCAGATGGGAGTGAGCAAGCTGGAGTATGATCTGGTTTTGTGGTATGCTCTTCCTATGTGTTGCTATGCTTTACTTAGTGCTTTGGCTGAGTGTGGTGTAGTTTGCTTAGTTTTTGCTTGACTTTATTGGGCTGCTGTTTTCATTAGTGTTGGCTATCTGATGTACTCATGTGTTTGGGCCACCCTTTTGTCTTCTTGTTTAGTTGTTTTTTCCTTGCTACGTTGGTTCCTCACCAACCCTTGATGGTGTGCTAGTGTGCTTATTGGTGCCAACCTCGTTCCTCGGCTCAATTTATCCATCAATTCAATCTCAAACCTTCAAATCCCAAACTCAACAGGGTAAGGGAAACTACCCATTTCCTCATTCTCTCTCTTCATCATTCTTCTTTTAGTAGGTTTGATAAATTAGTAAGTCTGTTTTGGTTTGAGGCCGTAGGTAATCCTAGGATTACTGGCCGGTTACGTCCTTAACCCATGGGGGCGGGTTCGGGTCGTGACAGAATTAGTGTGTAATAGAAACCCTAATACTTTAATTGGAACAAAACTTAAAATGTAATTCAAAATAGATTATACAAACCCAATTTGGGAATTCAATATTATAGTGTTTCTTATCTCTATGTAATTTATTAATAGACATTGGATTGTAAAAATATTTTCAATAATGGGTTCGTATTTAAATCTAATGATTTTATTGTATAATATGGCACTAGTTTTTTTAACCAATCTTAATAATTAATATTCACACATTGTGACATTGATCTTATAAGTTTTTCTGGCATTATCATAGCAAAATATTGAGAACCGATTGACACACTAAAATACATAAACGGTGTCGGATGTCAATGAAACTTGACACACACAACTAGCTAGGCATAAATGACATATAGGAAAAGATGGGACTCAAAACTAACTCCCGGTTTTGAATCTAGAGCCTAATTCCCATTTGTGAAAATTTGTCCTCTAAAAACTCTTTTTCAGAAACGGTTAACATAATAAAATGGTCAAACGGTGTTGGATGTCAACAAAACTTGACAAATATGGCTAACTAGGCACAAATGACTTGTAGGAAAAACGGGACTCGAAACCGATTCCCGATTTTGAATCTGGAGCCTATTTTCCGTTTGTGAAAACTTGCTTTTTAGAAACTCTTTTTCCGAACCAGTTGACTCGCTAAAATGCTCAAACGGCGTCGGATGTCAATGAAACTTGACACACACAACTAACTAGACACAAATGATTTGTAAGAAAAGACAGGACTTGAAACCGATTCCTTATTTTGAATCTGGAGCCTAAGTTCCGTTTGTGAATACTTATCCTTTAGAAACTCTTTTTCGAACACACACTAAAATGGTCAAACAACATCGGATGTCAACGAAACTTGACACACTTGACTAATTAGGCACAAATGAGTTGTAGAAAAAGACGGGACTCGAAACCGATTCCCGTTTTCTGATTTTGAATCTAGAGCCTAATTCTCGTTTGTGAAAACTTGTCCTTTAAAAACAGTTTTCCGTAGCTTGAAATTAATTATGTTGTAAATGATGATTTTTTTTTTTGGTTTCTTTTTGCAGATGCAACCCTTGAGTACGTGATGATATCTTCATATATTGACATTGGAGCTTATTATTGATATCAAAACAAGCTATAATATATATGTTTTTTTTATATTTATATTGTCAATACTTTTATTTTGTTTTAGATACAAAAATTTGAGTTCTTGAATACAAAAAATTATTAGTGTTGTTGGAGGTTGTTTTATATATTTTTGTAAAGAATATTTGGTTGACAATTATTACATGGTACATATATATTATTCTTGGTTTATGATTTTGTGGATATGGATGTGAATGTGGATGTAGATGTAGATGTATTTTATTTTAGAAAATATTAATAATTTGTACAGGAAATGAATTAATAAAATATATATTGATTTTATGAAAATAATTTTATTGTGACAATAATAAACCGTCACTAATGTAATCATCATTTCCTTACATATTATTAGCGACGGATTAACCTGTCGCATATAACACATTAGTTTAAATCATTAACGATGGTTTAAACTGTCGCAAATACAGTATTAATTTAATTCTACTTTTTTTGCGACATTTTAGACCATCACTAATAATACTTTTCGCGACGTCAAATACTGTCGCTAAAAAAGTTTTGGTGACGGCAACTGACATTGTCACTAAAAGTGAAGTTTTTTCTCCTTTTTTTGTGTCGGGTTAAACTGTCGCAAAAACCTTTGATTAGCCGTCGCTATAAGAAAGCAACGGTTTGTAACCGTCGCAAATACTTTTTGTCACGCCCCTTTCTGCCATCCCTCATTTCCCGTTGCTACTCCGTCGCAAAAAGTCTTTTGTGACGACATGTGAACCTTTTGCGACGTTTAAGACCGGCGCAAAAACTCCAATTTTTAGTAGTGACCACAGGTATTTCAACGGTGAATGGATAAAATCTTTAAAGATCTTAAGGATTATTGTGTAGTTTATATTGAAGATATACTTATCTTCTCTAAAACCCGGGAGGAGCATAAGAAACATTTAAAATTACTTTGTGAAAAATTTCAAAAACATGGAATTATTTTGTCTCCAAAAAATATTGAACTAGAAAAAGAATTAATGGAATTTTTGGGAATAATTTTAGACCAGAAAGGTCTAAAATTACAAGAACATATTTTGTCCAAAGTATGAGATTTTCCTGATACTCTTGAAAATATAACACAATTACAGAGTTTATTAGGTATTTTAAATTATGGACGAAATTTTATGAAAAATCTTTCAAAAATAGAAATTCCTTGGTTAACCAAATTAAAGAAAAATGTTATTTTTGAATAGATAGCAGAAGATGTTGCTTTAATTAAACAAATTAAAGAAAATGTTAAAACTTTACTAGACGTTTATCTTCCAAAAACAGGTGATATATTAATTTTAGAAACAGATGTCTTAGAAGAATATTGGGGATGTGTTCTTAAAGCAATACCAAGTAACTTATGGCATGATAAATAGATACCTTTATCCAAAAATGGGATTAGACCAAAAAAAAATTCAATACCCATGAAATTACAAAAAGAAGAACTAATTTGTAAATATAATTCTAGAACATTTAAACCAAACGAACATAAATATATTATTTTTGAAAAAGAATTACTTGCAATAAAATTGACAATAAAATTTTTTCATATTTATTTAGTCCTAGAAAATTTTATTGTACACACTGATAATAAGGGAGTAAGAGATTTCTTGATCAATAAAAAACCTATTGAGCAAGGAAGAAGATTAGCCTGGTATAATAAAATTTTTGAATATACTTTTGAGGTAGTATACCTTAAAGGTACTAACAATTTTCTTGCAGATTTTCTTAGTAGGAATTGTTTCAGAAAATTAAATTAATAAACAAGTAATTTTAATTTTTTCAGAAGACCTCTAGACCAAAAAGAAATAATGGACAAGGGTAAACAACCCGCTCAAGGAGATTGGTAACAATTGCTAAAAAAGCAATTCCTAGACAAGAAAAAGTTTATGTTATGTTTTCAGGAAGACAACCTGGAATTTACACAGAATGAAATGAGTGCAATAAGCAAGTTTGTGGATTTCCAGGAGCAAGTCATAAAGCCTATGATAGCATGACCAAAGCTAAAAAAGATTTTTACAATGCACCAACCATGCCTGTTTATCAAAAGAATTTTTGTCAAATGAGAACTAACCTAGTTCCAATTAATATTCAGACATCTAAACCCGATAAAACTGAAATAAAAGATTTTTTTCAACCCTAGTATATCCAGAGAAATTTATACAAAATTCAATGGAGTTTGGAAAACTCACATTATAGACAACAAAGTGAAATTTTGAAAACACATGGGAGTTCTGGCCAACAAATTAGCTGAGTAAACAGCTAAATTAAAAGATTTGCAAAATCTTTGTTCAATATCCTTAAACAAATGAATTGGAATGAAGATTTTAATTTTGAAAAAATAAACAATTTTCTTCAGCTATCAGACCTCATTTCGGATGAGTTTTCTAATCCAACTTTTGAACAAATAAAAAGAATTTGTCTTTTTGAAAAAGCAAGAACTTTGCTTCCAAAAGAAATTTTTTTGTTAATTAAAAATCGAGTCGAGGATCATCATGATAAGATTAGACAAATCTTAGAACGATCTTATGATAAATTAAATTTTAAAGATGGAATTTCTAAAATAACCATCATGACAAATCATGACATGTGATATTTTGAATATATAGATTGGGGAATAACTAATTAAGTTATTTTCCAAATTTTAGATCCAATCCAGTGGATAAAATATCCAATGATCATAAAAGCAATACTCTCATGGGTAGTAAAAGGCTTCTGATGGAGTAAATATTTTACTTTCTTGATTTCTAGCACAATTGGTTAGAGAGAACGAGAACATTTTTTTCAATCGTACCAGATTTGGTATCTCAAAGAAACTGAAGATTTTGAATTTGAAGATGATTATTTGGATAAAGATTGCCGGAGAGAGCAATTGCAAAATATTTAAAAACTTTCTTTGACAGAATATTGGATAGACAGTCTAATATCTGTTTCACAGGCAGCGTCCAATATCCATGGCTCAGCAAAATTGCCATTCATGGTTACTGCGAAGAAGTGGTTTGGAAATATTCTTCTAATCCTGGGGAACGCTCGTGATCCTCTTCTAGTCACCTGAAAAGGAATAAACACTCCGGTCGGGGGTGCCGAAATTAGGGGTGAGCATGGTCCGGATTGGACCGGATTGGGGTAAAACCAGGACCAATCCGTTATTTACGGTTCCTAAAAAATTGGAACCAATCCAATCCGTTTAAATCATGGAACCAATCCGAACCAATCCATTTAAATACGGATTGGATCGGTTTAGGACCACAGATTCACATAATTAAATAACAAAAATATATATATAACATTTGAATTTCATAAAAATATAAACACAGCGCTATATTAGTTCCATAATAGCAACATGTTTTTCTATAATAACGACATACTGTTCTAAAATTTAAACAATCATAAGAAAACTAGTTTCACCATAAGTATTTAGACCATTGCAAATTAAAACTTAAAACTAACAAACAAAAGTAATAAAAGAAGATATTATACGATTTTAGGTTTGAGTTTAGATTTTACATAGAATAAGAAAAGATACTATGGGGGAGGATGTATAATAAAAATATAGACTATTTGTATACGGTCCGGATCGGTTCCAATCCGGAACTGTGGGATTCAATCCGGAACCAATCCGTGAACTACGGATTTTTAATTATTCAATCCGGAACCGAACCGCGGATTCAAAAAATCAATCCAAACCTATCGGATTGGACTGGACTGGATCGGATTACGGATTTCACGGATTCCTTGCTCAGCCCTAGAAATTAGCACTCCGACGGACAAGTCAGTCTCAACGCTCAAGAACGCTTGTATTCTAAGTTTAGCACAACAATTCTCACATAGCTTTTTCTGGCTGATGTTTCTTCTATTTATATATTTTCTTCTTTGGGCCTCGAGATTAGATCCATTTCCCACCTCATATTTGGCACATTTTATAATAGACCGATCTTCACTCTTCCCCTTGCTTAATTGGTTATTTGGCCGAGTAGGGTTGGATTTGAGCTTTCGAGCCAATTGCCGAGTGATTCGAATCTCGACTCTCCTAGATTTGACTATCCGGAACCTCTATGACTCCCAATTCTCGGCCCCCGCAACTGCCCCCCAAGCACTCCACTAACGACAGTTGGCTGGAGTGTTTGGCTTCGAACTCGAAGAGTCAAAGCTGAAATTCGGCGGCTGACCGTATTCCAACGCAAATGTCTGTACACACGTTTCTCGATTATCATTTCAACTTCCCGCCTCTTCATACACTTCTATTTATTGTGATTTAAAATTTCAACGTCTTTTCAAATGCATACACGCTTTTAGACGCCCGTCGTTGGACTGCCTTCCAGACTACCTCTGCAACTTCCTACTCTTCTCTATCTCCTTCACCTCTTGTAAGTTCTCTCCTTCTCTGCTTTGTTTTTTGTCTTAGCATAATCCTATTGGCTGGGGGAAATAACGAAACATTTAAAAGATCTCCTCTCACCGGATCGAATTTCTGGCTTCCGACGCCATTTTTCCATTCCTGATGACGTCCGTCTGTCATTTGTGGCAGACGACACCCTCAATATGGAGAGGGTTGATGAAACTACGATCGTCTTCCCTCTTCTATCAATCGCAGAGGGTGGGGTCCGTTTCCCCCTTCACCCACTCCTTAGGGCCGTGCTTTGCCATTAGGGGTTAATCCCTTCCCAACCCAACGTCAACTTCTTTAGGATCGTGATGGGGATTATTGCACTAAACCGCCGCCTTAGGCTTAGCCTTGGCATTCCCGCTATTCGGCATTGCTACGCCTTGGCCAAGTCTTCTGGTCGGCATGGGCGTTATTTTCTTAAGGCTAAAGACACCAACCATCAACTAGTGACTATGCTTTCCAGCTCTAGGAAGCGAGTTGATGATGTTATGGTTGTCGTCCAAGGAAACTAGGAATTCGGCGAAGGCGAGGATCACCTTGATCGTATTCCTAGACGGAGGGGCGAACCAGGTGGCCGAGTATCTTCTTTTATTTATTTACTTGTTATATTTATAAAACTTTATTTTCGAGACCTCATGGTTTTGCTTTTGTAGAAAACGATTTGAAGAAAGTCTTGACCTCGACCGACGACGCCGTCCTTTCGGAAATCAAGACTGCGCTCAAGTATTTCGGCCTACCGAGTCTTCAGAACCAGGGAAGGGCGGCCCATGTTCTACTCCACTACGAGCCGACTTATACGACCTT